AATAACTTTGTGAAGTAGGTATGATGATTATCCCCATTTTACTAATGAGGAAACTGAGGCTCAGTGAGGTGAATTAACTTACCTGGGCTCACACAGTTAGTTAGTGCCTGAGTCAGCATTTAAAATCAGATCTTCCTGACTCAAAGTCTAATACTCCAGACGCTAAACCCCCTGGCTGCCTAAGGCAGAATTAATTTTCTCTTGACTGTTCATTGATGAAATGTGTAATATATACAGATAGCTGTTTTCCTATTAGTAAAGAAAGAGCAAGCCTCTTTCTGTCAAACTGTGTTTGTTGGATAGAAAGGTGCATTTATCAAAGAAACCCCCAGTTATCATGACTCTCAGCATACGTTGGAACTAAGTAATGTCTTGGTCAAACTGGGTCACTTACCATTCACTTTTATGAAAAATCAAAAATTGAGCATCGTCACATTCTGCATAGATTTGCATCTCAAGCTGAGTCTTTGTTAATGGATTACTCTTCTGCCCTGTAAGAAATTTGAGAGCTATGATTCTCATGCGATGCCATGTCTACTCCGTGGAACTCCTAAAAATACACTTCAGAATTCCCATTTCATGATAGGCCTTAAACAGCTGCACCTGTAAGGAGGAGATTTAAAGTGACTATAAATGTTTCTCTGGTTAGGAGATTAATATCTATCTGCTGGGAGATTTACAAGCTGGTTGGAATCTGCTTGGGCCAGAGATATGACACAAAGGGCTAATGTGCACTGCACCCGGGAAATGGTATTGACGGTATACATCTGTTTGTGTAATTGTCGACTCTAATTTTTATTTCTATTACATTTAATATTTAATTATAAGCTGTTTATGTAAAAATAGTAGGATGCAAAGTAAACCCACCAAATTCAACAGTATTTCTATATGTGGTAATAACAGAATCCAGGAGGAAATAACAGAAAAGGAAGCTCTATGTATTTCAAACTACCAAATATGTGGGAGTCAATCTAGTGAGGCACAATAACAATTAGATGATGCTCCCTAAAGAATGACAAATAAAAATGGCTAGTGTTTCTATAGCATATTAAGGTTTGCAAAGCACTGTGCATGTTACCTCAGCTGGTCCTTACAGCAACCCTGTAAAACATTTTTATAGATAAGGAAACTGAGATAAGAAAGATTAAGTGACTTGCACAGTTACACAGCTAGTGTGTGTCTGAGGCAGAATTTGAATCCAAGCCTTCCTGACTCTGAGGACAGCTCCCTATCCACTCCACCATGCTCCCTTTCACAAAACCAGACTTAATAAAAACTTACTGAATTGACACAGAAGCTTTCTGGATCTATTATTCAATATGAAGGTGAAGTTTGGGAAAGTTTAATCAACTTTCCCAAAACTGCTGTTTCCAATTATTCCTATATTTGGCATCATGGAATCAGGCTGTAAACCAATGTTTGAATTTTTATCCACTTTCAGATATCTGCTCAGCATAAAGTAGATATACCCCCAGGTTGTTTGATTTCACTGCTGGGCAGAAAGAGAAATAAACATATACCTACTAGAGAAAATTTGCTTCACTTTGGGTTTCTCAGTGCCAGAGAGAAGGAAAGTTCTGTTGATTTCTGCTCTGAATTGGCTCAAAGTATGATTCATAGATTCAGAGCTGGAAGGGACCACAGGAGCCATCTACATCTGCCTCCTCATTTACAGATGAGGAAACTGAGGCCCAAAGAGGTTAAGGGACTTATTTTCCAGATCATAGAGTTCTCATCATTCTTCCCATCCTACCAATCGATCACCCAAAAATCATGTTTTAAGATGCTACTGTTGTCTTGACTTCCCCAGTTGGGCTAGTCCACCCTTGGGTCCCAGCAGTAGGCATCTTTTAGATCCCTTGAGTCAGAAACAGCTGCATTGACTAAAAATGGTGGCCTGAAGTGAAACCTATTGAAGTAATTGGAACTGGTGGGCCAGCTAAGGTTGACTGTGAAAGCCTGCCTTGGGGGGAACAGTTAATGATCCCATCTGGCAATGATCTCATAGGCTTCCCATCTCATGGGAGATGCTCAACCTTTCCAAGGGCCTAGAGTAGACTTCATCAGTCTGTGTGCTTGTCTGGATCTCAGTTGCCTAGGAACCTTGGGGCAGGTTGTGATCTTTAGAGGAAAAGCCCTGGGATCACTTTTCCAAGAACTGCTCTCCAGTGACCTGGGTTTTCCTGGAGTGGGTCCTTTCTCTGCCCAAGCAGAGCACAACCTCTCTGCGTTATGGTAGGAAGGCTCTGAGAGATGTTGGCCAACTCTCTCAACTCAAAGGAGAGCTCTGTCATTGGGCTCGTGCCTGAAACCCCTCCAGCTTGGCAGGCCCCTCTAAGTTTGTGGTCCTCTGACCCAACATCACCAGCATACCACAAGGAGGCACCGTATGGAGGTGGGCTCTCTTTCATTCTTCATCAGCCCTCTCCAACTGAATTTGCAACAGTAGCACCTCCTGAAGTTAACCCTGAGAAAATAACAGAAGTCAAATCTGGGCAGGCTCCACGTCAGCTTTCCCCTATTTCCCCATCAATGTGCTTCTAATTCAGATCTTATGAGCATCCCCTTGGCCTCCTCTGTATGTACACAGACCAGTGCTAACAGTGTGGAAAGACCAGAGTTGGGGTGTTCAGGAAAATTCAGGTAAGAGCTTATATCACGATATTCAGGACTAGCAGAAGCCTTAAGGGTCACTTAGCCCAACTGCCTCACTTACAGAAGAGGCAAGATCTAGAAAGAGCCAATTCTCAAGTCCACATTACACCTAGAGCCGGAAGGAACCTTGGGGGCCTTTTAGTTCAATCCCCTGATTTTGCAGTTGAGGAAAAATAGCCCCAGGGTGTGAAGTGCCCAAGGTCACACAGATTATAAGAGGACCCATGGAGAAAAGTAGAGAAAATGTGCCTCTCTCCCCTTTTTACAAAGGTAGAGAACCACAGATGTGTACTATTGGGCAGCTATTGGGGGCACCACAGTGCACAGAGGGCTGGACCTGGAGTCAGGAAGACCTGAGTTCAAACCCACCCTCAAACACTTACTATTTGTGTGAACCTAGGCAAGTCATCTTACCTCTATTTGCCTCAGTTCCTTCATCTGTAAAATGGGAATGATAATAATAGCACCTACTTTTCAGTGTTTTTATGAGACTCAGATGAAATAATTGTGAAGTACTTGACATGTAGTAAGTGATTATATATGTGTATATATATATATATTATAAAGGTTAGCTTTTTTAATGTTATTCTGATTGTATATACTGTCAGATGCAAGTAATATGTTGTTTGGTTTGTTAGTGGTGGGTTTTGGTTTTGTAGCTTTATTTTTTTTTCTATTTCTTTTTTTAATCTTTGTTGTAAGAGATGGCTTGGAGGGTGAAGGAGGGAAGCCTATACTCAGAAATGAAGGTGATGGAGAAAAAATGTTTTTTTGCTTTTTGGTTTTAAATTAGTGGAACCAAACTTTAAGCTGAGGTTTTCTGACCCAAGATGGAGCCCTTCTCCCCAAACGTGAATGCTGAGGGAGAGAAAGTAAAGCTCCTGGTTTTATTGGTGGGACCTTCCCAGCTCCCAAAATGCAGTCCCTGAATTGCCTGTGAAATTGTATCTACCTCTGAACAGCAGGCATAGCAGACTGCTCTGTGTTTTCACTGCTCTTCCCATCCATGGACTCATTGGAGCCTGACAGGATGGGACCCTGGGAAGCAGGTCTAGGCAGGTACTTGAATAAGCTCATAGGACTCTTGATTGTTAAACCAATTGTTGAAATTAGCAAAGACTCCAAATCAGGGTATGATTTATTATTTTGTTGGTTGTCTAGATTCAGGATAGTGATAGAGAAAATGTTAATAATGTCAATATAACTTAAAAGTATGTCAGACACACACCTTTTTTTTGGAGAAGCAATTATTAAACATTGATCAGCACACACAGATAGGTTCTATAGGTATTATCCTCATTTTGTTAATGAGGAAATTGAGTCTCAGAGCTACAAAGTTGGGAGGATCAAATGAGATAATAATTATTAAATGCTTAGCGATGTGCCTGGCACATAGTAGGTGCTGTGTAAATGTTAGCTCCCATCATCATCATCATTATCATTTATTATTAAAGTGGCTTCTCCATAGTCATATGTCTAGCAAGTGCCAGAGACAAGGTTGAAATGACTCCAAGTACGGCACTTTTCCGATTCACTACAAATTACCTTACACCAGAGGACACCAGTAATGAAGAGGTGGATTCCATAGGGCATTCATTCACTCAACAAGGATTTATAGGTGCCCACTGTGTTCTGGTACTGCAGGAAATGCTGAGGTTAAGCCTTCACAGGCAGATCAGTTCCTTGAAGTTATGGTCAAACCTTCACAGAGAGAGAGAGAGAGACAGAGACAGAGAGAGAGAGAGAGAGAGAGATAACAACATCAGTCTATATTAGCATGGGATGTAAAACTTGAGTTGAGAGACTCACTGTGCCTTGGTTGTGAGAGCAGACATAAAGAACTTCATGGATCATTGGGGGAAGGCAGTGTGGTAAATGGACTGAGTCTTGGATTTGGAATCAATAAATTCAGGCTCAAATTCAAGCTCTGATGAACGTGAAGATCAAATGAGGTGATACTGTAAAACTGAGTTTTCAGATCTTACAGTGCTATAGAAATGTTCGTTATTATTTCTACTCCCTGTGTGACCTCTGGGCCGCAGTTGTCAAACAAAGCCAGGGTAAGACTAGAGGAGCTCCAAGATTCCATTGCTCTGTATCACTTACTTTTTTGTCTTCCCTACCATGTAACCTTTTTTGTTGCATTTTTCATTTTTGGAGAGCACAGGAGTGGAGAATCTGGACCTATAAATTCCTTGTCATAAAGGATTGTGGGTTAGGGTGAGGAAACTCATATAACAGTTGCTTACTAAATGTCTATTGAGTGGATTATTTAATGAGTGAATGAATGAATCATATACTGGCTGCTTCTCACTCTTCTCTAGCTTTGGATAAACTCCTTTTCAATGATGTCCACTGAGAGGATCCAGTCACGCAAGCTCCCGGAAGAGAGACTGGACAAGCGAGACACACACAGCAACCACTTGGGTAAATGTCATGGGGCTGATGTCAATGGCCGCTGTGGGAATCAGCAGTCTCTTCTCCAGCAATAAATGCTGCCCATTGGCAGCTTTCTATGGAAGAAAAGGGAGGCCTTGTGAAACCTGATAGACTGTGCCTTCTGGTGACAGAGCCATTGCCAGATGGACAGACAAAAAGTATTTGCTCCTGCTGGGCTCAGCATGTAAATATTAGCTGAAGCTCTAGAGGGAAATTAATTAGAGGCAAAAAAAAAAAAAAAAAGGAGGAAGAACAAGGCATTGTTCTCTCTGATCGGAAAAGAGTCACGGTCTCAGCATTTGTAAAGCAATAAACTGAATGTGGCATTACAGCCCGCTTCCAGTATTTACTTGTATGCATGCACCCCATGTGCAGTTTCAATAAAATATTTCAAATATCTCTTTTTGCCTATCAAGACAGAATTTTAAACAGTTTTTTTCAGCTTTATTGTCAATCTGTTTCCTTTCCAGAACTGACTTTTTGCATAACCTTTGTAATGAAAATACCAGAAGCATCTCTGCCTCTACCCATTTCTAAAAATGAGATGCTCCGACTTTTGATCGATGTGCCTCTTGCATATTCATAGTCCTTGTTTATGCTCCTCTTTGGTTGTTACGTGCCTCTGCCCCCTCCCCATTTGCCATCAAGATAGTTTATGTTCAGAGATTTCTCCAAAATTGGAAACCACAAAAGTCGCAATTTAAGTAAAAGTCAAAATTGAAGCAAAATTCAGGCTCTGGAAAAACAACATGAGGGAACATGGCCCATAGGTAGGGGTCACATGGGTCAGTGTTCTCCATGAGGATCTGCTGATGGGGTCACGGTCCTCATTTGTCTTGAGGACACCGACTAAAAACCACGGCCTTGTAGCGTTATTCATGAGAATCGTACCATTTACTGCTTTCTAATAATCACGAAATCACAAAATCTGAAAGTAGGAGAGACCTCAGTGGCCAGCTGGTACAACCCAAATCAGAATAATAATTCCTACTGGAGCATTCTGAGCTCAAAGGCCTCCAGTGACAGGGAACCCAGAACCTCCCCAGGCAGCCCACTCTACTTTGGGAAGCTCCTAATAGGATTTTTTTGTTTCTGTTTCTGATATCAAGTGTGTGTGTATGTGTATGTGTTTCTGTTTCCCCGTCTCTCTGTCTCTCTCTATCTCTCTCTGTCTCTCTGTGTCTCTGTCTCTCTCTCTGTCTCTGTCTCTCTCCTTCTTTCTTTACATCTTCTACCCATTGCTCCCAGTTATCTGAGACTAAACCAAACAAGCAGAATCTCTCCTTCACATATCGGATCTTCAAATACTTCAAGCCAGCTCTCATGTCTCTCCAGAGTCTTCTCTGAGCTAAATACACCCAGTTCCTTCAGTCAATCTTTATATGACCTGAATCAAGGCCCTTTGTATCCTGGCTACCTCCTTGGCTGCACCCTCGTTTATCAATGCCCTTTAGAAGCCGACCCGCTGAACACAATGCTCCAGGTGAGGTCTGATTAGGGTCGAGCAGGACTATCTGTCCCTGACCTGTGTCTGAAAGCTCCTCCCCTCCTGATGCAGCCATTTTTTTTTGCAGGCGCATCTCACTGCTGGCTCAGAGTGAACTTTGTAATCCACTTAAGCCTCCAGATCTTTTTCCAAACAATCACTATCTAACCATGCTGCCTTCATCTTAGACCCATGGAGTTAGTTGTTGGACCCAAGTATAAGACTTTTTATTTATCTCTACTCAACTTCCAATTCAGTCCAGAACTGTTACCCAGTGGTTCTCAAACCTTTTGGTCTCAAGACCCTTTACACTCTTCAAAATTATTGAAGACCTCCCCCAAGGAGAGGTTGTTTATAATGGTTATATCTAACTAGATTTACCGTATTAAACATCTTAAGATTATTATGAAAATAGTACTGAAGCCATATGGACCCCTTTGAAAGGGTCTCAGAAGTCCCCAAACCCATGAGAACTACTATTCTAGCCTATGGAGAGCTTTTTGCACCCTGACTCTATCACTTAGGAAGTTATATATACTTTTCAGCTTTGGATCATTTGCAAATGGGATGAGCATGCTAACTATGTTTTTATCCAAGATAAAAATGTTAATAGCGGAGTCAATCACAGATCACTGGGGCACTTCACTAGAGACCTCTCCTAGACTGTGAACTCCTTGTGAGGAATTTGTTTTGGCCTTTCTTTGTATCTGCAGTGGTTAGCTATATGCCTGGCATATAGCAGGTGCTAATCAATGATTGTTGACTTGACATTGATGTTGAAGCATTCGTGACAAGTTTTTGAGTGGGGCCATTGGACCATTTCTAAAGCCATGTCTCTTCATCATCTCCCCAAGAATAACATGAGACTCTTTATCAAAGGTTTGTGAAAATCTATGTAGCAAAAAAAGCAATGAAATTACCCTGCCATGCCTTATTCCTGATTAAGCCATCCATGCTGGATCCCTATAATCTCTGTTTACTTTTCTACACATTAACCAACCATCTCTTTAATGATCTGTTCTATAATTTTCCTCTCTCTACTGACTCCTCAGGTCTGGGGAATCCTTAAAAAAAGAAAGAAAAAGAAAAGAGGGCCATCTCCTGATTTTACCACCTTCTAAAGCTATATCAATCCTCTCCCAGGCTTCCCTTACATTACAAGTGCTAACTTGAGGCCTCCATTTCCTCACTCCCACTTCTTAGTACCTTACAAAGTACTTTCATCTCTCAAATTCTACCAGGCTGTCTCTGAGGCGGGTCGGGTCACCAGTGACCTTTCAACTATAAATCCCACCACCCTTTGAGCCATTCTCCTCATGATCTTTATTTGTATTAAATTTTATCTTAAGGATCCTGCTCATTGCTTTTGCATGTCAAAATGTTTTTGGATCCTAACTATCTTCCAGTGTGTCCTTTCCAGCTGAGTAGAGTACAAAAAGATCCCTATCCAGCTGTCCTTCCCAGCCTCATGCCACCTGCATATTTGATACCTATGATGTGTATGACCTCATCCAAGTTATTGATGAAAATGCTGAACAACACAAGGTTAAGGATGTATCCCCAGAGCATTCCTCTATAGAATTCTTCCCTCCATTCTTCCTCCTACTCCTGCTGGCCAGAGTTTACATCACTCCATTAATAACTACACTTTGGCTTAGGTCATTCAACCAATTCCAAAGCCATCTCATTATATTGTTGTCTATCCCACATTTCTCCATCTTGTCCACAATGGTATCATGAGAGACTTGATCATTTGCTTTTCTGAAAGCACCTGCCAAATGCTCTCATCACTGCCCTTCCTAATCAATTCTACACAGAGCAGCAAAGTTATTCTTCCTAATGCATTTGTCTGGCCATTGCCCTCTAATGCTCAAGTTTTCAATAGCTCCCCAATATTTAAGAAATAAAATACAAACTCCTTAGTCCAGGATCCAAGGCTGCCCACATTCTGCCTCTAGGCCATACCACTCTTATTCCATTGTATACTTTATATTATAGCCACATGGGCCTGCTAGTTACTCCCCAGTCTTATCTTGTACTCTTTTTCCTCCATGCATTTGCTCTAGCTATTTTATGTGCCTGGAATGCTCTCCCTCTCATCTCTGCCTGATGAAATCCTGCACATTCTGGCAGATCCAGTTCAGGTCCAAACTTCTATGTAAAGACAAAAGTCACCACTCCTTCCTCAAATTTCCTTGAGCTCTTTGCCTCAATTCTCCCCTCACCTCTACTACATATTGATTAAAATATAGTTTTGTTTTGATTTTATAGAGGCAGTAGAGTGTAACAAAGGTAGAACTCTTTTCAGAGCCAGGAAGACCTGTATTTAAGTCCCACCTCTGAGTGGGACCTCAATTAATTAGCATTTATCAAGTACCTACTATGTGTTAAGCCCTGGCTGTGTGACTTCGGGCAAGTCATTTAAACTTTTGATGCTCTAGGCAACTCCCTAATGTACTAAGTGGTGGCTAATATGCTCACCTGCATTAGTAGCCATAGTTTCTTCATCCTGGAGTTCATTCTATCAATGAAATCTGCCTTAGTAGCCATAGTTTCCTCATCCTGGAGTTCATTGTATCAATGAAATCACAAGTCCCACTCCTGTCCCGCTCCTGCCCCTCCTATCATTAGAAAAAATACTATATCCTCAGCATTGAGCACAGTACTCATAGCTCCATAGATTCCAAACTGAAAGGGACCCTAGAGATCACTGAGTCCAATCCTCTGATTTTACAAATGAAAAAACTGTGTCTCAAAAAAGTTATGACTTAACCAGGATCATATAGCTGCTACATATCTCAGGCAACATTTGAATCCAGATCTTCCTGGCTCTAAGTCCAGCATTTCGTCCCCTATGCCATCTAGCTTTACAAATGTTTAAGATAGGTTGGGTCTAGAATAAATTATAGAGTTTAGGTTGGTAGAGAAGAGAGGGAAAAGCATTCAGATTTGGAAAATGACATGAGTGTGGCACCAAGGCCCAGGAATGTTGGGATGAGGTTGGATTCATCAGTGGTGGAGTCAATTCATGATTGGCTTTATCTTTTTTTTTTTTTTTTGGCAATTGGGGTTAAGTGACTTGCCCAGGGTCACACAGCTAGTAAGTGTCAAGTGTTTGGTCTGAGGCCGGATTTGAACTCAGGTCCTCCTGACTTCAGGGCTGGTGCTCTATCCACTGAGCCACCTAGCTGCCCCTATGATTGGCTTTAAATGGAGAATGGGGAGAAGAAGCCTAAAAATAGGGAGACAGGTTGTCAAAGAAGGAAATTTCACAGTGAAAAAAATCATAAGAAGAGATTAATCTCACATTTCTGTGTATGATGAATTGACAGAAGCATTATTAGTAACAGAGTGGTTACACAGAAAAGAGCCACATCCTAGATGCCAAGTCTGTCACTCAAAGATTAGTGATCCTGGGCAAGTCACTTAACCCCAATTGCCTAAAAAAAAAGAAGAAAAAAACTAATAAGGAGAGCCGACAAATTGGGGACAGGCAAATCAATTAGGAGGTTATTTCAGTGGTCTGAGAACAAAGTAGATCTGGGGTCAAAGGACCTGAGTTCAAGTCCTGCCCTTGACACTCACTACCTATGCATAGTGCTTGTCACATAAGTGCTTAATAAATTCTTGTTGACATTCTGGTAAATTGAGCAAATTACTTCATTTCTCTGGGCCTCAGTTTCCACATCTGTAAAGTGGAAGTTTTGACCTATATAGCCTAAGAAACAGGATTTAGTAATTGATTGTATAGGAGGGATGAATTAGGAAGAAATTTATACTTTTATGTATTTGCCTTATATATTAATTTTATGTATCATGCCTTATGTATACTTTATGTCTCATATAATGGAATTTTTAAAATTCCTCACTTAACAAACACAAAAAGAAAAATATTTTCCATATTCACAGTAAAACAAAAAAAGTGACCATAGATGAATACATGAATCTCTAATGCTTTTTTAACAAATCCACTTTGTTATTTTCAAAGCTGTCCTGCTATCAGTATTTCCTTCTGAGTGAATTTTTATAGCAAGAAAAATGTGGAATGCTCAAAAGCCCTAAGGGCTGCTCCTAGAGAAGGTGGGATAGCCAGATAAAGAGGTAGAGAGCACCCAGAAAGACTGGAAGCCATTCTTTCACCATGTAGTTAATTACAGCTTCAATTGCATCTTCCAACGATATACTTTTTACACCATTCCCTCTCCCTGCCCTTTCCAAAAAAATCTCAAAAGCAATCTAAAAGAGATTTTCTGTCCTATGCTGCCCATTTTCACTTTGTGACCAGAGTTTTCCAGGATTTCATTTTTTTCTTTTTCTTCCTTTGTCAAATGCAGATGATATTTCGGAGCAGTTCATTATGAGTTGTGATATTAAAAAGAAGTCCAGGAGGGGAAAAACCGTTCAAGGAGCCCCAAACCCTGACGTGGAGCAAAAAAAGCCAAGGAGAAAAGATACACCTGCCCTGCACATTCCTACCTTTATGACAGGTGACTCAATACTGTCAGTGGTTCATTTTGTAAAATGGGGCCAACCTGATCCTAATCAGTCTTAGGTTTTTAGCTTTGGTGGGTGTGGGCACTAAGTGGGTAGTGGGGAAAGGGAAAGGAAGCATAGAAACGGAGTTTGACCTGCTGGGGCAGCTTTCCAGCTTGGGTCAGACTTTAGGAGCAAGAGGTACTTCTGGGACTGGAAAGGAGAGAGAGGGCTGGAGTGAAGTGCAAGGACTTGGAGAGCCAATCACGAGATCATAGATTTGGGGCTAAAAGAGACCTTAAAGGTCAGCCCCCAGCCCCATCATTTATAGACGAGGAAAGCAAAAGGTTAAGTGATTAGCCCAGAAAGTAATGGGCAAGAATCAAACTTAATGCTTCCTGATCCAATCCAGAACTCTATTCATGATACCATTCTGCACAATACAGTGGAAATAGTGCTGAATGTAGGTCTGAGTGAGTGAGTTTGAATCTTGACGCCGGCTGTGTGACCTTAAATAAGTCACTTCACCTCCGTTTTCTCATCTGCAAAATCAAAGGGTTGGGCAGGATCGAGGGATCTTAGCCTTTTGTGTGTTAAGGATCCCTTTTGCAGTCTGGTGAATCCTATGCAACCCTTTTCAAGATAATGTTTCAAAGTTCATAAACTAAATGCATAAGATTATAAAGGAAACCAATTATGTTGAAATACTGTGATCAAAATTACATTAAAAAACATATTTCCGGAGCCTGAGTCAAGAAGCCCTGAGCTGGAGAATCTCAGAGTTTCCTTCTGCGTCTGCGTCTGTCATCTTATGTCTGAGGATTTGCTTGTGTGTATGTGTGTGTGT